AGCTTGAGAGAGAGCTAGCTCTATACAGCTGCGATGCAAGCCCGAAAGCTAGTCATCGATGATTTATTCCAGATTCGACTGACTCGCTTAGCTCGTTTTCCGTCTACTAATCATTTCAGCTTAACGCACTGGCTTGATTTTACGCGACTCAGCTCTCCTGCGCCCGATCCCCTCGTCGTCGCGAGAAACGTAAGCAGTGCATGCGACGAAGCGCGTACATAGCGAAAGATTATCACCATTGTCGATCAGACTGAGCGATGAGCTGACGATCGTTTGCTGAAAGTCGACTGCTCCAGTATTTACGGGGGGAACGGGTGGCGCTGGAAAGGTCGTATTTTTGGGCTTTCTCTCTCTCTCTCTCTCTCTCGCGCGTCTCCTGGTCGGGCGAGCAAGGACAATTGCAACGAAATTGCCTTGTCATGGGCCGAGAGCGCGCAGAGGGTCGTCAAAATTGCACCAAATGCTCGTCGCAAGTATAAAGCGGAATTTGCGAGCTGTGTAACGTCAAAACAAACTGCGCCGTGCGCGTCTGCTTGGCGGGTCAGGCAGGCAACTAGCTAGGCAGGCAGGCAGCACGTGACGCCAGAACAACCAGATGCCGACTAGACAGCTCGTGCATGCATTAAAGGTATATACGAGAGAGAGACAGAGAGACAAGAGTACAGCAGCAGAATACCGGCGCAGTGCAGAGCGTCGATCGCCAATACTCACGCCCGTTGCAGCGGGAGTGGCGAGTGGCGAGTAGCAGCAGGGAAAGAGAAAGAGAGGCGACAGCGAAGCAGCAGCGACGGCTGCCGTTAACATGCTTTCTAACTCAACGCCGCTGCTGCTCACCAGCAAAATTGCAAATCAATAGCCTGTAATGGAAAAGACGACGGGACGTGACGTCCATTAGACGAAGCTCGCGGCGCAGGAATTGCCGTGGCACACCATGACCACACTAGAGCTCTCCCTAACGATGTATATAGTGTCTCGACCTCAGCTCGTAATAAGACCGACTACATATTCGAGAGCTTTTTTTGTGTCCTGGCTATAGCAGCAGCATCGTATCGGCCTTGGTGTACATAATAATGCGTGTAAGAAACGGGGAGCGATCGCGCGCGAGGGTCGAGCTTAATAACGCCGCCGAGCTTGTGTATGTGTGTGCAAGTGTGTATGATGGAACGAGCTTGCCGCCGTGCTTGCTGCTACGCTCCTTCCTAACGCTTGCTTGTACACACGTGGCGTACGACGGCTCGTGTGTGCTACGTTACCGAGAGAGGTGCACGAACCCAAATGATTAATAGCCGCACGACCTGTCGGCTTGTTTACTTTCGAATTTGCGGCTGAATGCGCCGTAGCCATCCCCCGGCAGCAGCAGCAGCAGCAGCAGCAGCAGCGGCAAGCTCGCTCTCGCCCTCGCTCTCAGCTACTCTCTGCTGCTACTACTGCTTTCGCTGCTCTCGTGACAGTTATCCGAGAGACTTTTTGTCAAACTTGACAAGGTGATGCACGCGCCCACGTATTACGCATATTTTTACCCCCCTCTCCTCGCCACCGCCAACACTGCTCTCGCTCGAGTCCATCATGCTTGGCTTGATTTATCGTCTACGCTCGTAACCATATACAGAGCTGCTACAAGGACTACACCACTGCTAAGCTACTAGCTGTACTAGCATGCGGCTATATGCTCGGCTTATACTTATATACTTGTTTTTTTTTTTCATACGGAGCACAGAGCCAGGCTACTTGCTGTGCCATATTTTTTTTTCTCATACTGCTTCGACTATATTCGGCTACCACTACTATAGCCAATTGTCTTCCGATCGACGCTACGGATTCTCGAACGTCACGCTTGTCATAAGTCATCGCAATTTTGATTGATGCTCGACTGCGCGTTGCATGCGTGCGTGCATGTTATATTTGTGCGGTGAATCAATCGGGGTTACAATCAGCATTGCATTACCGATTCGTTGACCAAATCGATCCCGATGAATATTTCATTACTCCGATATAATTTAATTATTGCGCTGCCTGGCCAAAATCATAAATTGATCGAGACATATTGGCCCGCGCGAAGCTTTCAGAGAGTATAAATGTAAAATGAACAGCATAATCGAGATGAATCGTAATTACCAATGTACCGGTGACGCGCCTGCAGAAATGTTTAAAATATTATTATATTCTATTGTTGGGGCTCAATAATACTAAAAGATAAATGAAGCTTCACCTATACGAGGGTCTGAAAAAGATGATTGACTCGATAACGACGTCGACTCTCTTGCGCGTTGGTGAATCGATTAAATTTCAGACTTGTCAAGAACAAAGTCGAGTATCTATAGTTAAGCGGATGGTATAAGTGTGCGCGCCACCGAGCGCAATGGTACACGTTAAGCGCGCGATTCAAGCCACCAGCGAGGGCTGCGGCGGCGGCATTTTATACCTTTATTCTCCAAACAATGAATTGTCAGAGCAGCGGGAGAGAGAGAGAGAAAGAGAGCGAGATAGAGAGAGAAAAGAAAAATGTACGCACATGGGAGCGTGATACGTTTATTCGCGCTAATCCGGCTGATAGCAGCAATAGCGCTCTAGTGGCAGCAGCAGCGGCAGCACACTGGCGCAATTACACCGAGCGCGAAAAAAATGTTCGTCCAGTTGTACGAACGAATTATTATGAACAATGGGAGAGAATTTTTGGGGCCAAGTTTTCAATCTCGAATTTGCTCTAACGATATTCCAAGCGTATAGTCAGTAGCTGCTCTGCTCCGCTCCGCTCTCCTGCGCACTCGTGGAAGCGAAAAGTAATGTGAATAGCGCGCGTTGGGATATCATGCCTCGTGCTCTCGATTTTGCCGCCGCCATCGTCGCTGCTGCTGCTGCTGCTTCTGCTGTTGGCCGCAACCTCATTTACGTCCAAGACGATTAAGCGAGTTGAATTTTTTTTTTCTGCGCGCAGCCAGTAAAGCGACATTTCTCTCACGAGCGTCGAGTCAATTTATTATGATGCGTTATAAAATAAAGTACACGAGCGACGATGCAGAAATCGATAATAAATATTTCCCACAAAAGCGCGCGAGGGTAAGAAAAAGGCACGGGGGAAGAAGAAGGGCATTCGGGCGTCGTGCGCATATCGGTCGATGGTATAAAGCTCAAATTAAAAAATGAATTCCACGTGCTAGCTGCCAAGCGAGATAGCATTTATCGAGGCAAGCCGCCTTCGCTGTATATACCTATACATATAAGAGCGAAGCTACGATCCCAACTCCGGAGCTTGCAGCAGCAGTAGCGGCGGCGGCGGCATTGCGTTCTTGCATCGCGTTCTATCTTCATTAGCACATTGATTAATATCAATTGATGTCGTCCAAACGAGTAAAATAATGTTAATTGCGGAAGCAATATGCGCGCACGGGTAGAAGAGAGCAGCGCGCGCCAAGTTAATAACGCAAGCCAATGAATTATGTCGGCTGGAGCAATGTGTGCGTGCGCTCGCTGCATGCCGGCCTGTACCGCCACGCCGTCGTAGAATATGGCCAGCTTAACAATAATACCCGCTCCGCAGCCTGGTCCGGACGCCCACGCCGTATACGTATAAAGCTCGATAACTATATATAAGTATGTACGGCGCGCGAATGTATGGTAGACAGTACCTGCAGCTATGCGTTTAGGTGCAGCATGGCGATGGAACTGTGTGCAGTGGCGTCCAGGGACGCGAGCGGGCATTGTTGTGCTTTTGCGGATTATGCTCATCCGATTGTTTCCGGCCGCGAGTCCAGCCGATTAAAAAACAAAAAAAGCTCGCGCAAAAACTCCCGTCGCAGCTGCTGCTGTAGCAGACGCTCGCTCGAATATGAATAAAAGTGCGTTCTTTGTGTGTATAACGCGCTCGTACGAGAGTGTAATCTGCCTTACCTTCGACCGCATCCCCATACATTCTCGAATGTCCTGTGTGGGTGGGAAGTTGCAGGAGCATGCGAGACTATACGCGCATTCTAGCGTCCCGGTGCGAATGGCCCATAGATAGCTTCGCGCGCGGATTAATTCCACAGCGAATCGACACGAACGGAGGAAGTTCGCGTCGCTTTGGTCCACATTTGTCGGGGGAATATATACATAGGCTGGTGCTGCTCCTGTACCTTGGCAGTGGCCGCCACGATCGTACGATGGCCGCTGCTGGGCTGCGGCTAGATTAGTCGCACCGCGTGCGTGACGTCTGTGTGCAGGCTGCTTGGCGTCGCGTCGAGCTGCGGTCTTTATTCCTGCATGCGCCCCTTGCTTTTCGATATACTAGAGACCGTGTACATGCGGGCGCGCCACACGCACGCACGTGCACTGCACGCCAAGACACGTAGAGTAGCGCGCGGCGCCACGCACGTATGGCCCCAGATGCACGCGCTATGCACACGGCTCGTGTTGTATTTGTGTGTGCGCAACGTATACCTATATAGAGCCGGTACACGTATATGCATATAGGGAGCTATGCCTTTTTCCACGCCGAGAACTCGGCCGCACGTGAAGGGAATGAAGAAACGAGCTGGCTTGCGCTCGTGGGACCTTCTCGAGCTCCCCGTAGCCGGAGTTAACTCTAGGAGCCCGTGTGCCCGCGTCGCCCTCCTCCCCCGCAACTCCCCCGCGCATCTACTATACATCCTCCCTATTCCCACCCTCATCCCCCAAGTATATATCTATAGTTCTACCATCCTCGGCATCTTCCTCAAAACTCCTGTGTGACGCCCTCCTGTAGCCCGCGTTACGTGCGAGCTATAGATATACACAGCATATCTATCTATCTGCCTATGCTTCGAGACTCGATTGTTTATCGATCGAGCACTAGCAGCAGCAGCAGCAGCAGCAGCGAGCGAGAGTCGACTTTTCGCGTGCAGCAGAACTATGCGCTAATAGCGCAGACTCGACGAGCGAATCGTTATAGCAATCTTCCGCCTCTATACTCTGCTCTCCTCGCGAGAGAGGAGTTCAGGTGCAGCGCGCACGAGTATGTGTGTACTTTGAGAAGAGAAACTTACGCCGTGCTTGGTGCTTCCTGTGTGACGACGATCTTCTAGCCAGCCTCCAGGGGCATCTCACTGGTATACGTGGGGTAGCTGGATGTATAAGAGGGAGGGCAGTCACTGCAACAACAAGAACGTAACAACGAATATTTTGAATAATTTCCTCGAACTGAAAACCCTGATGTATATATGATAAAATACGCGAGGAGCATTCAAAAATAATGTTCATTTCGTTACGTACGCAGGAATGCGCTTGACATATTTACAGTACACGCACGCGTAGTCGTCGTGGGTATTAATAAAGCTACCGGCGTACATAGGAGGGGAGAAAAGCGTGCATTGTGAGAGACAAGCATTATTAAGTCTGTTGATACATATAAGTGCTGCGCGAACATGTGTTTATATATGTTATATTCACGGCAGTCGGCATAATAAATAAGTCTTCGTCTCTTTTGCGGATCGGGTCGCTGTCGGCGGCTGGCTGCGTTATACCCGCGTAAACATGTTTGCGTGCTACGTACACGAACCCGTACAGAACATACACGTAGTGGTAGTAGTAGCGGTAGTAGTACAGAGCTCATGGACGTAGTAATGCATCCCTTTGGCTCAGTGAATACGAAAAGAAGAGGATAGCTCGCGCACACACAGTCGAGAACTTGCGGTTAGCTTTCCCAGCAGCAGTACAGTTAAGCTTTTGCCGTACTTAAAGTATCGTAGCCCGCAGGCAAACGTGCGACGTACGTCAACTAAGGACAAACTGGCGAACGAGTAGTATATAGTACAGTTATAGTAAGGTATATATAGCTTCGCCCGAGTCTCGTAGCTCTGCTCTCTTCAACTCGCTTGCTACCCCTCGAGCAACTTACGAATGCCAAGTATCACGGTTCACGAAAAAGAGAGCCCTACTTTCTTCTCCTCTCTCTCTCTCTCGCTCTCTCCATCGTAGCATCGTTCTGTCGCTTCGTTGCCGCTTTCGAGGTACATCTCTCTGTATAGCTTGCTCTCTCTCTCTCTCTCTCACTCCATCTCAACCATACTTTCGTGCATTCTCGGGCTGTACGACTAGTTTTCGTGCATCGATAAACTATACTCAAGTTGCAATGCACTCGCCGAGCGGCTTTGGCTCTCGGGTGCTTTACTGACCGCGTATATACGTACGAATTTCAAGTTTTCTTCGGGAATATGCATTTCTAAAGGAAATCTAACTCATAACAAGCTTTATTTGCATTTCTCTCTTTCTTTCTCGTGTATCAAGTCTCTTTCAATGCGCCACTGCCGCCGCCGCCGCCGCCGCGCTTTTGCATGCCTTACACATGCTTTTATCTGCGTATGAAATTCACCTCTTGGATCATATAACGTGTGCTGTTTATTCAGCAATTATATATACGATGTTTGCATTACGTCGACGATTCTCCGTCGAATATTTTTCAACCTATAAAGTGTGCATGAATCCGCAAATATGTCCAGTATGCTAAAGTAAGCTATTTTTCATATTCTTTCAACAATGTCGTTTCTACATGAAGACGTCTCAATTTGAATAAATCAACTATACGCTATATAGCTTTCACGCATACCTCTTAGATTTTCGTCTGTAAAAACATTTTTCGTCGCTCGAAACTCTCACAGAAAAATCATAGCGTATCAACAATTAAGGCGTTCACCGAAATAATATCATCAATTACTTTGATTAGACAATATTGATTTCTTCTATCTTGAATGTTGAGTTTATAGCTCTCGATTGTTTTGAAACATGCATAAGAGCACGTATAACAAGGTTTGCCTGCATGAAAAAAGAACGGCCGTGTGCGGGTTATGCTTGATAAACGAAATCTGCCATTGTATCCGAGTCAGTCATTGAAAGTTTTAATATCGCGGTTGACCTGACGTGAATTATTCAGCCACGGTGCAGCTAGTCGTTCCGTACGGCTCTTTCACGAGCGAAAAAAAACAACAACGCGCGTTTACCGCGATGCGAGCTACACACGCGGCGCTCGGAGCCGCCAGCGAGTTTATAAATCGTTGTCGAATGTGTGCTATTTGCAAATTTAATGTTCAAAAATATAACAGCGGGGCGTGATTGTCAACTCTCGCTCTCTCTCTCTCTCTCTCGCAACATATAGCTGCGAATCACTGGAGTTTGAAATTAAAGAGTTTTCACACTTTTTCCAAGTCTGCTTTTTATATACCCCTCGCAACGGATGCGCACAGGAGAATCACCCAGATTGGACATTACTGGATAATATCTTCTCTCGAGCTTTCGCTCCTCTGTATTTTTTATGTCCTCGCTAATCTCATTGCCGACTCGATTGCTGGCCACGTATTTTCTGTCGGATGATCCGAACAGAGTGGATATAGCTGCGATTATGTCGGTATTAGAGGAACGAAAATTTGAGCGAAAAATCGTTGGTACGAGTGTGCCACATACACGCTCGCGGTTTACATGCATATCTATATAGATAAAGATAAAAACTCTCTGGAAGAGAGAAAGGGAAAAAAAGGAGACGACGAGGGCTAGGAAGAAAGCAAAGCGGAGCCAGCGAAACGGAGAGTTATCTGCGACGAAGGGTGCTGGTATGGGATTGAGCCATCGTGTCGCCGAGCTCGTTTTGAGGATGGGGGCCGTGCGGAGGGAGGAAAGCTAAACCATCGGCGAGAGTGCACGGGCTTGGAAACTGAAGAATGAATTACAGCACGCGCGCGCCGCAGCCGACGCCGACGCCGCCGCATCGCGTTATGACTCGTAGCAGCGCGACTATGAAGCCGAGTGACTGGCGCGAGACTCTCCTGCCCAGCAATAGGAGGATTTTCCGGATATATCGGAGCCCCCGTCTCGACGCCTCGTGCTCGCCCCGCTCTCCCTTTCTTTCTGACATATATAGTTATATCGCCGCGTCCTCTCTTTTTGTGCACGCAGTAGCAGTTGCGCCGCGCAGCTAATGTCCCTTAAACTTGTCTCGGCTTGCGCTTGCCTCGAATGAGTCTGCCCGCGCGCCTCGAGCTCGGCTTTGTCGTTCGCGTACAGCTCGGTCGTGTACAGTCGGCTTTAAGCCGATGTCTCTCGCGCGCTCGATGAAACAAAAGGAAATCAAAGCCGTTTTTGTAAAAGGTTTTATTTTCATTCGCTCTGTCGCGAGAGCCGTGTCGACGGCGACGCTTATCCAGTGTCCTCGCGCGTTTTGCAGCACGCAGCCGATTGGGATTTTTCTAACGCCGCGCGTTCTTTTCTCAAGAAACAAATTAAATTAAATGCTTGCGAGTGCGATATCAATCGATGAAACATCTAGTGACGAAATTCACAATAAATTTATCGCACCGAAGCTTCTCAACAAACTTTTCAATGCGGGAGGAGAAATGCCGAAAGCTCCAAAGGAAGGCGGGCGCGTATTGCATGCCCTGTTATATATGGTCGATTCTCTATGAAATCAAAACATTTTTATTTCGATGACAAGAAAAACTTGTTATTCTTGATTTCATACATTTCACGGAATTTTTTAAGAATTTTTAGAGTCTTTTACCACCTCAAGTAAACCTATAAATAGCGGAAAACAGCAAAAATAATCTTTGTTTGATGTTTTTATTTTAATGTACTCTAATTTTTTATAGTGGTTATGCTTAAATGTCAATACAAAAATTTACAGGATGTATAGTTGACATTGCAAGAAAAGTTCTAAAAATTGTAGGGTGCTGAAAGTATTTATTTTTGTATAAATAACTTGCAGTAAACAGAGCTCCCCGCAGAAATTTTTTCCTAGTCACTCGGGACTAAACTAAGAATTTTTATAAAATTGCAAAAAAAATTTCCTTTAGCCATTTTATTTCGCAGAGACTCGGCCATATACTTATATCTATACGTGTGTATAAGGTTAGATAAAAATCAATTTTCGTCCTCGCTGAAAAGAGTCAGCATTACGCCTTGACTGCTCCTTTTATTCCTCGGCGCATTGTGCCAAATGCTTTATATACGTATTTCTATGCATTTATATTGCGCCGAGTGTATCCTCGAGATTGTGGAAAACTGCATCTGCAGCTTCAAAGTTGGGAATAATTCACTCGGGATAACTTCATATAAATGGGAATGCTCACATGGATAAAAGCTTGGCAGGCTTGTGCGTTAACGACTTGGAAATATCGTGCGTCGCGAGCATATACAAGAATGCGATCGTAAAGAGCAGCGGCGGCGGCGGCACATATACACCCGCCGCAGAGCGTTGTGTAGTTCGCGATTCGTCGTCGTCGAGACGCGCGGGTCGAGGAAATGAGTTGTGCGAGCTTTTCGAAAGCGCAAAGACGTTTTCGATTCGGAGGTCCGTGCCAACACTATAAATGGGAATACGCAATCGGTTTTTCTTTTTTTGAAGCACTTTCGAAGCTCGAGAGCCGCCGCTCAGCATGCGTGGCAATGCCAAAGTGGAATCAACGTTATAGCATAGTGATCACGAAAGTTGGTCAGTTGTGCAGAAACTCGTTTATACATGCGTCGATGTGCGCCTTTACAAGGCAGGCACTTTTTAATTCAGAAAGATCGAGGTTCCACCTCATCATCTCTGGTATAATCGGATTATCCAGCAAGCTTGGCATCGCCGCGTGCTCTCGCTATCGTTATTGTCATGACGGCGCAGCTACCCCATCAGCGAAGCCTATGAATAGTAGGAGCTGCAGTAGCGGTAGTATATGTAGCAACAGAAACAGTAGCACACAGCCAAGCTCGCAGCTCTCGATCCAGTACATTTCATGCACCGGCGAGCACGCGCAGAGCACAACGCGCTCGCGGATCGCCGATAAAGGCCTGATATATCCATACGTACTACATTACCGTCGCTATATGTACGTATAAGCACACAAATATACGTATAGAGGTCCGAAGCGTTGCTACTGTCGCAATTAATGTGATATATCGTCGCGGATATGGTCTACTGATAACGACGCTTAAACGGCTGCGTTTTGCTCGCGCCGAATTCTCGCGTTGTGCCTCATCCCACTTTATGACGCTCCCTACGCGTTTCTGCTGCTGCTGCTACTGCGTATATACCGCGTTCATGCTCCGAGCTCGCGTATGTTTGTGCTCTCTTCTTCTTCGTTTTCTGCACCCGAGTGCACTGACTAATTACTCTGATTACCAT